TAGATACCCAGTATTGAAGAGATTTCCTGGCAGGGAGTGTGACTTCCATCTAATGCTACTCCTTTCGGACAAAGACCTAGAAATATCCTTCCAAGTTGCCCGGTTTTGTGCTACCATCTGTACAATACGCTCCACCATTATTTAGAGTTAAAATTCTACAACATAGTATCTTACTTTGATATATTTCAGCACTGTTATTTTAATTATTAGATTAAATAATATTAATTGTTTTGTTTTACAGATATATATAAATGTAAGATGGTTGTAATTGTATACTTTGATTGTATCTGGCCTTAGGGCTGTAATAAACGTGTGTGTGTCTTGAATAATGTCATTGCCCCCACAAAAAAAAACTGACTCTTTTTTCCCTTTTATTTATTCATTTAAAATAAGGATATAGGTACAAAAGATATAATAGCAATCAATGGACAAATAAGTGTCAGTAGGTGTCAAAAATGACTCGATAGCACATAATAAATTAATAAAAGATTGACCACACCAAACAAAGTACATTGACTTTATTTTTATAATATGAAAAAGAGTATAAATCTTTGAGCTTAATGCCAAAATCTCCACTCTGTTGTTATTTATAAATGCTAAGAATAACAGCTTTAGCAAAAACTAAACTCTGCTATTTTACACAAGCATGTCAGTAGCAGCAGTCCCAAACTGTATCCTCAACTCACAAACAAGCAATTTCAAATTGCTCCATTACCCCCAGCATATGCCCAAATTACCATTTCAGGAGTAATTACCCCCAATTTAAGAACCAGTGACATAGCCTAATACAGGTAGGCTTGACTTACACTCATTCATTCAGCGACCATTTGAAGTTATGACAGGGCTGAAAAAGGAGTCTAACGACTGGTCCTCAAGGTTGCAGCCATCCCAGCACCCCTGTGGTCACGTGATCGCAATCTGGGTGCTTTGCAACCCATTCACACTTAGAAGAGGTTGCCGGGTGCCCCATGATCACAAGATCACCATTTGCAACGTTCCATGCTGGCTTCCCCAGAAAGTCAATGGGGAAGCTAGCAGGGAAGATCGCAAGTCGCTGGGGTAAGTCTCCCCCACCCATGCACTCTCTCCTAGCTTCTCTATGCTCG